TTCAGTAGTTTTTGCGTGTAAGAGTAACAAACATACATCCTTACATTCTATACACTTTCGCATTTATAATGTTAGTAGGATACTAAAACTGCTTGAATGTATCTTAATTTAAGAAATTATTTTCCCTTTAACAAGCAACAATGTAAATAATAAAATATTTGCACAAACTAAGCAAAACATATTACATTCACACAATCAATTTAAAAACAAGCTCTTTTAATCCTGCATAGCACCTGCTAATAATACGTAGGTCCTTATTTTTATGCATTCTAATGCACTTCATTGTTTCACTAATATTGAATTGCAAATTCATTGTTCATTTATAATTGATTGTCAATTCCATACACATTGTTGTCCATCACCAGATCATGCTACACACATACTCTTCTTGGCCACATACATAATTGAAGTTATTATTTTACAAATCTTTGTTAAAACAAGATAATGGGTCTTAGCTCCAATTAGAAGCACTCAAGTTAACCTAATGTTATTGTGTATAAGGTAGTTACTGTATAACAGTGGCTATACTAAGCAATTGAAAGCATGCAATCCATTTAAATTCACCATATTTTATTAATTGATCACAGTTTTGCTAGGTCTAATGTTTGACTAAAATATTAGGTTTAAGGGTCCAAAATTCCTTTGTCTTCCTTACTTTAAGTATTACAGATGAGATTAATTTTAAAACCAGAGTAAGGTTCAACATAGACTAAGCATAACCCAAACATGAATATCTCTATCAAATATTTTACAATTAAAAATTAAGTTTAACTCATTGTTGAAGATGAAACTGAGTAAGTACTGGAATGACGAGATTCCAGACACAAAGAGAAAGTAATTGTGTCTTGCATTGATTAGTGCTTAAGGCATACAAGAGATTAAGAAAGTTGATTACAGAACAAAAAATAAATTGTAATAGATTTTAGAATTAGTAGAACAAAAACTTTGAAATTATCTTGCATGCAGGTGGCATGTGGTATAAACAGCCATGAGTTGTCACAGATGCCTGTGTTGCAGTTAATCATGAAACCTGACACCTTGTTACAGGCCAGCGATATAGGAAGGTCATTTTATGTTTTGCACTGTTACAGTCAACAAGTATTATGAGTGTAATTGTAGTTAGTTATTAGTATTAACAACTCTCTTATCTGCATTTTTTCAACGTAATAGTTAATTAACATAAATCTCATTTGTAAAATAAACAATAGGTACATTTATTTAATAAATTGCCAGTAATGGTTGAAATGAAGCCATGATATAGGAGAGGACATCACAAACATAGAGCTACTGTTAGAATAGTATACGTAGATAGAACACAATGAGTAGCGGCAGACTACAGACACTCAAACACCTATTGTGTTCTAGTCGCTGGTGCCGTACAATCACACACATCACAGGCGGCTAGGTGATTCATATTTACAGGGGCTGCATAATATGGTTCATAACTCATAACACAAAGGCAGCAATAAATAATACAGATACTGACTCTATATTTAAACCCTTGTGACATACCTATGTTCAACAGTTCTGTTGCTACATCATCCTATGTTTATGTACTACATATTTTAATAGTCTAAAGTATGTACTATCTGTATTTATTTATTCAAATATTGAAAAGAAAACTTACTACAAACTTACAGCTGATGCATATTATAACATAGCATAGACATCTAAATATATAAAAGGAGAAACTGACTGACTGACTGACAGATCAACGCACAGCCTAAACGGCTAAACGTAGGCACTTGAAATTTGGAAGGGACGTAGCTTAGGTACCGTAGAGGTGCACTAAGAAAGGAATTTCCGAAATTCCCACGGGAACGGGAATTAGCGGGAAAAACGGGATTCACGCGTACGAAGTCGCGGGCGGCCGCTAGTTTCTTATAAGTTTTTTAATGGAAATGCTCCAAATATCAATTCACATTCTATAATTTTTTTATACACCAGGTGTTAATATTTTGCAGATGTTTATTTAGAAAACCAATAAATAAATCGCGTTTCAAATTACCCAGAGACGTTATAGGGATTTACTAAGTGTGGTTTTATCGTCGTAAACAGAATTAAAAGAAGTAAATCACTTACCATAACGCGTCGAAAGAAGATTGAAAAGCCCTGGGGGTCGGTGGTGGCGATGAGCTTGAGGCGGGCGGCTGCTCGCGTCGTGACGGTGACCCGCGCCGTGTGGCAGAAAGCTCGCGGAGTGGCGGCGGCTTAAGTTCGCTGAACTTTCATCCCGTGTTGTGCCGACGCTTGTTTTGCCATTCGCCCACACCCTAATGCTATTCACTGATAAATCAATCGGAATTATGCACGACACGATACATGGCAGCCTTTTTAACTGTGATGAAAGAACAACGCAAAGTGAGTGACTGAACGAATTGACTGTGACTGACTGACGAGATGTCAGATGCAGTGTTGCCAACTCGGATTTTGAAAAAGTCGTAGGACAGATTAGAAAATTACGTAGAAATGGTACAATTTCCTTAAAGAAAATACGTAGATCTACGTACTTTTTTTTCTGAGTGAAATGAAGAGAGTAGGGGTAGGTAAAAGTAATAAAACGACAATTTATATTACCCTAAAAGTAGTAAAGTACACTTTTATTGTGTATCATTTTCAGAAATGTTTTTATAGTGAAGATTCACTTTGACCGTTTGACGGTTTACACATACACAGTCAAGTCACTTCAGATTTCAAATTTCATATCAGCGCCCCTAGACAAAACGCACTTTTTGATCGAATCGAAAATCGAATCCATCAAAACTCCATAAAAAAAAGGAGCTTTTCGACCACTTTTCGACTGGTTTGCGATTATAATTTGCACTTTGTCTAGACTCACTGATCAAGGCTCTTCAGTGACATTTACAGGGGGGCGCTGTACAGCATTTTTTCTATGGGGAAATGTCAAAATAACATTAGTTCCGACTTTTGCCACATGCCAAATAACCGTGATCGGACTAATAACCCTTGTGACATACATGAGTAATGTTTTGGCGCGATGTTATTATTAACTTTTTCGCAAAAGTAAAGGAAACGATACCCATTCAGCCTAAATTGCAAATTTGATAGAAAATACGTAGATTCTGGGACTAAAGTTCGTAGGTTTGCAAGGAAGGCTTAAAATACGTAGATCTACGTAAAAATACGTAGAGTTGGCAACCCTGGTCAGATGATTGACGTTTGTGACGTTTTCTCAATCGCGCAGATTATCATTGATTTATAAACTATGGACCGGAAAATTTTTGAAAATTGTAATTTGTCATGTGTTTTATAAAATAAAATAATAAAATAAAGGTGTTATTCCGTGGAGGGTAGTTGAATGGGAAGCATGACCGATTTGATTTATTAGTTTTAATATTAGTTAATAGACTTAAGTGTACTTTGATGTTAGCACTGAAATGATAAATACCGTGAACCCTGGATAAAGTGGAACCCCGGAAGGGGGTGAAATTACATCATAATATTTATAATCCACAACAAACATAGATATTTTTTAATATACAGGGTGTTTCCTGTGAGGTGTCAAGCAGGAATGGAAGGTCGTATCTTACAAGAAACGTACCTTAACTTGACGTACCTTAGAGGAAACACCCTGTATTAATTAGTACATTTTTTATTGATAAATTAAAATATTTATTACTTTCTATTTAAGTAACTTTAATGGTGCGTGACTGGGCTAATTTGCTCGCGCGGGACGCTAGTCATCCTGCTCACTCAATAACTGAGTGAGCAGGATGTTGAGTTTGCCGCGCGAGCAAATTAACCCAGTCTGGACGCACCATAAAGATAATTATGTAGGTACCCAACGTGTTATTTAAGTCTGAAATATTTTATTGAAACATTTGAAACTATTGAAAGCTAGTATTATATGCAGAAGACTTTTATGGTAATGGGGCATAATTTTAAGAAGTTTTATTGCAAAAAACAGCACGATAACCTCATTTCTTATTTAAAAAGTTTAATTTATGACCCGATATCCACTATTATTCATGTAATTTATTTGTTATTTAATAGACAACACAGTATTTTTGGCATAAATGTGATTTTATTTTATAGAAATAGAACCGATATTACAAAAGTAATGAATATCTGTGGGCATTTGTCACTGCGCTATCCAGCCTCAAACTAAGCAAAGCTTGTACTATGGTTACCAGACTTATGTGTTGTGTTATGTCAGCTGATTTGAGCAGCCTCTATTGTGGACATGTTTTTTTCCCAAGTCCTGTATGTACCGAGCACGTTTATTTTATACGTATACACGGTCCATAGTATTTATATTAAGTCAATGGCGCATAGTATCAAGATGTCATAAAGCGTTTCGTTACTGCAAAACGACTAAGTATTACCAAGGAGTTTGGTCAGAATCAAAATATAATTAAATATTTTTATGAGAGAAAACTTCTATATTAATTTAAATACATTAATAAGTTAAGTTTTATGATTAATTTCAATTGTAAATATTACAATAAATCAGGTAAATAAATTATTCAACAAACCAGTTCATTTATGGACTTTTTTTTTTTTCAAATAATATTTTAAAAAAGTTTTTATATATTTTCCCGCTATTTTTACTCGTCTGTCTAGTAGGCACTACTACGAAATTTTTAGTAAAATGCTAAACATAAATAAAAAAAGATCATTTTTATTTATTTAATTATATAATATTTTTGCTCTTTTATCACTACCTAGCTAGCTTATTGCCCGCAGCGTCGCCTGCTTTAATTTTGGTCTGTCACAGGTCACAGAATGACTTTATACATCCATATTCTAACTAAAAATATAGAATCTTATAGCTAGCCGTAACTGTCGCCACTTCTACACCCTGGATGGGAACGGAAATAAAAAGAACATCAAATTCAAAATAGTAATTGTACAATAATTATACTAATTCCCACCAGTGGGGACAACGGGAATATAAGCCTTACTTACTTACTGCTGGCCCGTTCATATAAATATACAGCCAGTATAAGGTGTTGTTCGTTACAAACCCAATAGAAATAAATCCAATTCATAACTTGAAGTCGAGTGCACCTCAATAACGACATGGTATCACAGTTGCGTCTCATAAACGCGTCGCGCGAAGCTGAAAATTGCGTTAGGGCGGCGCACACGCTCCAGCGCGCACTGATTGAAAAGCTATTGCGCTCGTTATCGGGCCGCAGCCGGCATGCGCGCTGCCTTAACCGACCCTACTCTGAAAACCAATGTCGATATATCCGTCTTTCTCCCTAACCCAGCACTTCTGAGAGAAACTGATAGATAGGCTATATCGAAACAATGTTTCCGAGTAGCCCCTCTACACATTGCGTGCGACGACTGTGGGCTCGTAGCATCAGTCGGTGTTACCGCCTTCACATAGCATGTGAAGCTACTGCTGGCGTGTCATAGAGCTTGCGTCGACCCAGTGGGTAGTTGTGTAGTGAGCGATCATGACAGATGGGTCGTCCTCCCATGGAGCTTTGGCGTTTGCCCTCATTTACTTTACATTCTTTCTGGATAACGTCCTGCTTACTGTCTTAGGTGAGTAGAACAGAATAACCACTTTATTAACACAAAAGGACACAAGACTTACAGAGCAGAATACCTATAGTATTTACCTACTCACTTCTTTCTCGTATTCTAATGCGCTGAGTATGTATTTTCAGTATTAAAGGCGGGTCCAGACATGTATCATTTGCCCGATCCGATCACCGTATCCGTATCATCGAAGCGTATCATGATCGCATATGTGGACGGGTAATAACCAGGTAATAACCCGTCGACATATGCGATCATGATACGCGTCGACGATACGGATACGGTCGCGGTGATCGGATTGGGCAAATGATACATGTCTGGACCTGCCTTAAGTTGAACAAGGTTGATGTCTAAAATGTGATCATTTTGTTATGGATGTGGTTTGTGGTCCGCGCAGTGCCCATAATCCCGGACTGGGTGCGCGGCGAGGCGCTGGCGCTGTGGGCCGCGCACGACGCGCCGCTCGCCGCGCTGCTCAACACCACGGTGCACCGCATCACCACCGAGGGGCCCGGTAACGTATTCACGTGGAAAGGTGTGACGTGTGCCATCTACAATCGATAGAAAATCTTCTGCCATTGTTTTTTTTAAGAGCCAACGGATATCCCGCTTTGGGTTATTAAGAATACTGGATATTACGAGGAACATCATTTAAGAACTGTCGAGGGTTCCTATTGGAAGCTCTGAAAGATGATTGGATCATCATAATCAAATACAGTTTTTATTAGATTCGATGTTACGTCAAGTGCCGCTTCTTCCAAATAACGAAGCAATGTTTATGCTATATAATAATGATTCATGAATTCTATCTGGCGACATATCGCTTAGACAATCTCGGTTAGATACTTAGTGTACGTTCGTGGTTGGCAGGGTCGGGCGGGTCGCAGGCGGTGGTGGGGCTGGTGCTGGGCGCGAAGGCGGGCGCGCAGCTGCTGGCGGCGCCGCTGGCGTCGGCGCTGGTGTGCCGCGCCGGGCCCGCGCCCGTGCTGCGCGCCGCCACCGCCACGCTGGCCGCCGCCGCGCTGGGTGCGTATGCCGACTACACACTTACACGCGTTACGAACGATCAAGAGATCAAAGCTTTAGACTCCACGCAAACGCGATAACGGGCATCGACTACATTGCCGCCACCGGTGTACATTGCAACAAATTGTGGCAGCCACGGACTCTCTGTTCGAATTCAAAGAACGTGTAGTGAGAACCACCGGTGACTGATGCCTGTGGTCGGTAGCCTCTTTTCATTATCTTGCTGAATACGTCAACGTTTCGCCACAGAATGATAATAATAACTGTTTCGCTTAAAATTGTAACATAAGTAGGTACTTAGGGCCTGTCGGCTTTACCTGGGATATTTGCATTGTAACTGGGCATTTAGATAACGATGACAAGAATACTTTCAATTAACGCTGACATCGCGCAAACTACCCTCGTTTGTAGATCCTGGCTATAAGCAGGAGTTAGGATTAGGGTTAGGTAGGTTAGGTATAGGTAGATCGAAGATCTGGTAAACGTCGCGGAAGAACCTGGATGAGGGCAGCGCAGGACCGTTCATCGTGGAAAACCTTGGGGCCTTTGTCCAGCAGTGGACGTCATTTGGCTGAAACGAACGATACAGGAGTTGCAGTAGTGGGATTAGTCCTTTGTTTTTACCCTCGCTTGGATGATGTCAGCTCATGACTTCGTGAGCTTGTTCCCAACAGGTGTGGCAGGTTGCAGCAGCGTGTCAGGCGTAGGGCGGACGCTGTGCGTGGGCGCGGCGCGGGCGGCGCAGGGCGCGGGCGCGGCGCTGGCGGGCGTGGCGGGGCTGGCGCTGGCGGCCGCCGCACTGCCCGCGCCGCAGCGGGACCGCGCCATCGGGGCGCTGCTCGGAGCCGTGGCCCTGGGTAAAAGTCCTTTTTTTCTTTGCAAATAGGCTTTTAAAAAGCGCTTTTACACTTTCCATTACCTACACTCGGAGCCGTGGCCCTGGGTAATTTAAGTCCTTTTTTTCTTTGCAAATAGGCTTTTAAAAAGCGCTTTTACACTTTCCATTACACTCGGAGCCGTGGCCCTGGGTAATTTAAGTCCTTTTTTTCTTTGCAAATAGGCTTTTAAAAAGCGCTTTAACACTTTCCACTACACTGCTTACGAAAAATAAAAGGACCAGTGCTGAGAAGAAGCAAGAAACTCACCATCATTGTCAGCCGGTTGAAAAAGAGTGACTTCATAGCGTAGTGCCTCATTGATAGGCCAAGTCACCAGGTGAAAGACAAGAGAGCACACGGTCGATCGCCAGCCCACTGGACGCCATCACAAAGGCTACTGAGTCCACCATGGTCTAGTGTACTCGCGACGCCTCTAACCGTCAGAAATGGAAGCACATCGCCAGGAGAGCTACCCTCGGAAATGACATCGAATACCCCACGTGTACCTCGAAAGTGCAACCACGACCACTCTGACAAGAAAGTGTCCGACTAAAAAGAAGAAGAGCCTCATTGATCTGTCTCTCGAAATCACGCATAATGTTGCTGCTTATAGCAATAGACTGATCTCCCAGGCTTATAGGGCAGCCTTTGTAGACAAATCATCTTGCTAACTTACCAATTCTAAAACATGCAGGAGTGCTGGTGGGATACCCGTTTGGTGGCGCTGCGAATGCGCTATGGAGCCGCGCCGCACCGTTCATGCTCATCTCCGTCGCACTGCTGGCTGATCTCAGTAAGTTTGACATACCAATCAAATTGGGTATTTAGCGTGTTTGACCTACGAGCTTTCAAATGATACCGATTAATTTTTTTCAGTTATGCAATACATGTTTCTGGATAGAGAGGAATTTTGCCAGGTGAGTCTGTTTAGATTACGTTTTTCTTACAAACTGATTACTTACTCCTTTTTCCTATATTACGGATAAGGATATCATTATCATTATTGTTACCGAATGTTTTTGCCAGGTTATTAGCACATTTCTTATAATACACTACACAATTTTCAGTATTGTTACAACAACATGCCGTATCACAAGCAAATACGGCGGCAACATTTGTCAGTTCAAGCAAGAGCTGTAGGCCTAAGATACGCGCCGTGATAACTTTTATCGACGTCATTCATAATGTATGGGCAAAATCGATAAAATGGCGTGATAACAGCTTATCGCGGCGCGCATCTTAGGCCTACAGTGGGTCTAGACAAAGTGCAAATTATAATCGCAAACCAGTCGAAAAGTGGTCGAAAAGCCCCTTTTCAACCGACTTCAAAAAAGGAGGAGGTTCTCAATTCGACCCGTATGTTTTTTTTTTTTTTTTTACCCCCAAGGGTGGAAAATTGGGGATGAACTTTTTTATACGCAATATTTTTAATTTTTAGTTTTTTTTTGTGTTCACGCATTTGAAGTCGGTTTTATTTTTTTTAAAAGTTATTTGTATGGAGTTTTGACGGATTCGATTTTCGATTCGATCAAAAAGTGCGTTTTGTCTAGGGGGGCAGGTTGTGTGACAAACTGTCAACATGTTCTTGTCGTCTACCCAGCCCAGTGCCGGTGGTGGGACTGGCTGGGGCATGCGCAGCGGCGTGGCGGGCGTGGCGGCGGCGGGCGCGCGGGGCGCGTGCGGCGCGTGCGCGGGCGCCGTGCTGCTCACCACCAGCGTCATGGCCGCGCTCGAGCCCTGCCTGCCGCTGTGGATCATGGACAAGTTCCACCCGCAGGTACGCTGCCAGCTGGAGACCTCGTTCCCTCTTGTCGGTGTCAGGCCCGGATTTTACGGGTGGCAGCGTCTCTGATCTTCTTCTTAAATAACTTAAATTGTTGTTGTCTTTGTCAGCCCGGTCGAAATTAGTTGGTGTCATTTTTATTCTACGCGAGGTGACTGTATTATACATCGTAAATTGGATGTTAACGAAGCTCTTGTAGTAGTTAAGAAGGCTGTTGGCCCTCACACCCGACGGTGACGTGACAAATATGAACAGCATTATAAGTAGGCGAGCGAGTTCCAACATTATACTTTTCGGGCGATGAGGGCTGGCAAAACACTCGACATTCCTTGTCAGCGCTGACACAAAATTGGTGTCCAGTTTGAACAGCTTGTTATATAAAATGCTGCCACTGGAAATCCGAATCCGACACTCTATAAGTGGGAACAAGCTCGAACGCGAGCGCCTTGGAGAGTGGAAGAGTTGTATTGTGATTTGTGGCATCGCAACGCAAACGTCAAGGCGTTGCAGTGCCGCAGCGTTGCTGGTCCTTTGACTTCTCTCTTACCGGAGCAATGTGTCCTTTAGAAGTGGCAGACGGGCGCGGTGTTCATCCCGGACAGCGCGGGCTACCTGGCGGCGGCGAGCCTGGTGGGCGGCGCGGCGCGGCGGCTGGGCGCCGAGCGCGTGGCGCTGGCGGCGCAGCTGGCCGTGGGGCTGGCCGCGCTGGCCGTACCACACGCCACTTCGGTGCGTACAACCTTGAACACTTCACAGTATACCACCTGACAGGCTGTGCTCAGCAAGGTCGAGTGTGAGAAGTAGATGTGCGGTGAGGTTGTAGTCGACAAACAGCTTTTTATACTCGTATCAATAGACGCCGTCGCAATTTTAACCACGATTGTGGTCTAATGGTAATATCACCTGCTTCAGACTCAGAAGTCCCATTTTCGATTTCCAGTGGCTAACTACCACTATCCTACCTAAGTATGTCACCATAACCTTAATTTTAACAGCATTCGTAGCTATTCCCGTAGTTGGAGATATGATAGCTGTTTTATTGGATGGTTGAGGATTACGCGTGAAGCTCGCTTCCACCTTCGGCCTGATCATCACTTTCCATCAGCAAAGATTCTGAGAGAGGCTGAGAGATCAACGAGTCTTTAAGGCCTCTGTGCAAAGATCATGCACTGAGGTCTTAAACACAAAATGAAAATCAAAAATCAAAATCAAAAATATTTATTCAATTAAGACCACAAGTGGCACTTATGAACGTCAAATGTGGTAAAAATAAAAAAGAAAAGGTAGCCCTTATGGGGCACTTTACATGTCTCCTTATCATTTGGGCCCTACCAGCGCTTCGAGACAAACATAATGGCAAGTGCTGAGAAGAAACGCCGGAACAAACTCAGTCACCACTAAATTGTTAAGTCACACAAATGCTTCGTACTGAAGATCAGTGAAATAAAGAGTATCGTGTGGAGTATTGCAGGTGTCGTGGCTGGCGCTGCCGCACCTGGCGCTGGGGCTGGGGCTGGGCGCGACGGACGCGGCGCTGGTGCCAGCGCTGCTGGCGCGCCAGCCCGCGCGCGTGCCGCACGTCGCCGCGCTGCTGCAGGCCGCCTCCAGCGTCGCCTACACGCTCGGTATGCTGCCCGTCCGGCCGCGAGTGTTGTGTGTACTGTAGGTGCCGCACCGGCGCTGGGGCTGGGGCTGGGCGCGACCGACGCGGCGCTGGTGCCAGGGACATCTTTAACCTATTGGGGCCCTGGCAACTTAAGGATCAAGGGGACCCTGTTCCTCTAAAGCAGTCTTTCCCAAAGTGGGCGATAACACCCCCTTGTGGGCGCTGCAGGCTTAAAGGGGGGCGGTAAGAGACCCAAAAAAAAATCGGGACGTTGTGTCGAGGCTTGGGAGGCGTCATCTACTAGGAGGACTCTTAGACACCGACTGAGCTCGACTCTTGACTTCAAAAATGAAGAGCGCTAAAAAATAATTTATTCTTAAAGTGAGCAGTAGACTAAATAAGTTTGGGAACCGCTGCTCTAAAGGGCGGAAAAAATTGCAGAAGTATAAAATTTTACAGTGATTATGTACACCTGCTGTATTCGGAGGAGTAGACGGGGTCAGTGCCCATGGCGCGGGTCATACCCATATCCGCTATAAGTCTTGCTACTGCTTACAACCTCGTCCCACAATCTTAAACATTGTGTTTGTACCTTTACAATAAGAGCCTCAAATTAGAGCATAGAATTATCTGTGCCTCAGACGTCTCAAGTTGTGCGAGTCCCATGAGAAAACTTTGTCTGCTTTATTGTAAAGTCCGGTCGCTGAGCAGATATAATTTCGTTCAATGACCCCAAACTACCCATCCTTATCGCACGGCGACCGGACTTTACCTTGATAACTTGAAGTCAATTCTGTCCCATCTCCGCCAGACAGGAACCCATGATTTCGCAGTAATTAAAGACCTTGACCTAGGTCCGGTGGCGGGCGGGCTGGTGGCGTGGGGCGCGGGCTTCGAGGCCACGATGCGCGCGCTGGGCGTGCTCAACCTGCTCTACGCCGCGCTGCTCTACCGCGCGCTGCGGCGACACCCGCTCTCCGAGCAGGTAAGAGGCCTATGTTATACCACCACCACATTCTATGTCACACATACCATCATCATCTTACGATGTACGGTTTGTACGCTCTTGAGTGATATGTTGCTGATAGAAGAGAGGAATGAAAGTCTGATATAAACTGATACAACTGTATTGATAGACTTATGCTAAATGATAGAATGATAGTGAGAACGCGCTCGGTATGAACGATGACCGAACATGAACTGATGAAATTATAAATGTGGAGTAAAAATGCTGATGTGACGCGAACTTATGAAACAATGTAAAATGCTGACGCGCAATTTGGTACGTGCTACTGGCTCGTACCTACATACGACAAGATTCTTACCACATTTTAAAAGATCATCCGCTGTCAATGCAGGCTTACCGGTATCATGGGTGATATGGCCAGTCGCATCGCGTAGCACCAACGTAATCGAATAAGGCCGGGTAACAGAGAAAATGGCGAAAATGAGGTTTTCATTTTTCATTTTTGAGGTACTAAACAGTAAAATAAAAGGCTAAGATTTTTTTTGAGCATAGTTGAGGATATTTTCTAGGGCTATTAACGGATGGAAACACGATTTGATGAAGTTGACTCGATAGAATAAATTCCCAAAGTTACCTCTATTCGTTTTCTAATAATGGTTTTATTTTTAAAATAAGCGATTTGAGATTCTGAATCTTTTACTAAACTAAAGTTCAGAAATAACTTGAGGGCTTTTAACGGATGAAATTTTTATATTGCGTCTTATTTAGTTACTATGTTAAAAAATGTGGAAAAAATCGCCCATGACGGCTTGGACAATCTCAATCAGTCGCGCGGTGGCGCTTACGGAGGACGGACGCGTGCCAGTTTTTTGGACGTGACAGTTCTCGATTTGTCAATATTTTTGACAATGATGACTTTGATGAGTCACAGTATAATAATACCAGTGTTACTGGAGAAAGCTAAAATTTTTGATATTTAAGAATTCTGAATTTTGTCTACCTATTGAAATTTAAATCGTTGGCATCCTTTTAAACTAAGACTCTACTCATGATACATTCCTCAAATATGAGACAAAACCAATGAGTTAAAATTACATTTTAATAGTACCTACATACAATCGTCTTCACTCTTTAGAAGAGCACACTGATTTAAGCCGGCGCAGAACTTCCAGAAGGTCGGGCGACGCCACGGCCACTTTGAACAGTGTTTACTTCTGCAGTTATATTTTATATTTATTCGATTCTAGAATATATTCCCAAAAAGTCTGGAATGTGTTTTAATTTGTATCACTTGGATATGATTTCTATTAGAAAGTGTTGTGAGTGTGACGCTTGAAAGGAAGGAAGTCAACCTAACCTAACCAACTGCGTATTTCTATACTGTGTAGCTGGAAATTGTGGCGGGAGCTCTTTGACGCGCTGTTTTCGGCGAAGAATTGCGCGCGCAGATTTTGACAGCGCGAAATACCTACTTTAGAAGAAATACCAAGCCTTAACAAGTGTATCAATTTACGACATTTTAACGTGACCTGCTTTTCTCACATCGGATTAAAATTGATTAAACTCGACATCCTGCTCACTCAAGAGCAGGGTGAGCAGGATGACCAGCGTGCCGCGCGAGCCGTTCGCCCAATGTACGCACCATAAGAAAATTGCGCAACAGTCTGTAACCGATTTGGTTCATCATAAATTAGAATAGAGTCTTCTAGTCTTTATTGACGTTCTTCCCTTACTTATTAGACGTAATATCGGAAATGAAACCAAGTTTTATCGACAGTGGGGCGCGAGCAGCCCGGACGACGACTCCGCCAGCGAGGCGGCCGACGAGGGCGCTCCGCTGCGCCCGCAGCAGTACACTACGCTCCACTAGAGCCACCTTCAATACTTTGATCTGTTAATCTTATTGTGAAAATAAACATAAATAATAATATCTACTTCGCATTTTTATTCAAAATCACTTCAGGACAGGACACGTAACTGAAATAGCTTCAAGCTTCTACAGTTTCTCATATTATGTTATTAAGAAAATCAGTTGAGTCCATTTAGTCGTGCAACCGTGCGGTCTATAAGTGGCATCATGTTGAGTTTCTCTGGCTCCAAATCTGCTAGCCATTCTTGTTCACTCGACCCTCGCTGAGATTCCAGATTACATCACCTGGATTATACAGGATTAATCCTTGATAACCACAACTATCAAACTTTTTAACAGCATCCTCTTTGAAATGTTCCGACACGACGTTTGAATTTTTATCATTTGTTTCCAACATCAACAGGCCGCGACCGGCACAGACACCTGTCAAAATTACAGTTCTAATGACCCCTTAAAATCAAATTTCAGTGTTTAAACTCCAGTAACTTCTAAATTTATCAGTGCACTAAACAAATCACTCAGGATGGCATGCAAAAAACCATTGGGTAAGTTCGTGAAATTACTCGTGTACTTTAGTAACCACTTGTCCTGCTGGTGGTCCTAGTCCTCGTATTAAAGTGAGTGAGTGAGTGTGTAAACATGTTACACCGCTCGCCTTTGAGCCAAGGCCCAAGACTAAGGAAATCAGAGACAAGTTTTTAGCCATATGTCCTAAAAAAACAAAGATGATTTCAGGCTTTCATGGTGGCTCATAAATAGTCTTGCCCTAGCCCTAGTGTTGTTGTGACTCCTGTATGCTATCCACTGGATGTGTCCCGCAGGGCCCGGCCCCGGCGCGTACCAGCTGCCCACGACGTGCGGCTTCAACCAGCACGACCCGTCGCGGTACCGCAACCCGATGTACTCGTTCGGGACCAACGCCGGGTACCGCGTCAAGGGCCTGGGCCCAGGGCCCGCCTACCGCATCGACCGCGTCACGCGCGACGGCATGGTCTCCTCCCCCGCTTGGAGCTTCGGCGCTAGGTACCACTTTATGAATCATTACAAAACCAAATATTGATACATGAATATTAGGAGAAAAACGTAAAGTAAACCGATAGTTCCAGAGGGTCTATTCTTGCGATGCGGTAGCGAGTTAACGACGCGTTGTTGACCAAAATGTTTGACTCAGAGCAAGGCTGCTCAACCTTTTGAAGAGTCGGGCCAAACGGTGGATTCAGTCGTTAACGACGGGCCACTTACATTTCTTATTTCAGTTACTCTCAGGACAAGCGCAATAAAAAACTCAATTAAGACGATCAACCATACTTGCTCGGGTCACTTAAAATTCCGAGGGCCTGGGGTTGAGCAGCCTTGACTTAGAGGAAGGATGCACAAACGTAAACACTTGTTTTTTTTTTATTATTCGGAAAACCAACAGCAATACAATACAAATAATGGGACCTTAAATTATGTATCTGCTTAGCCATTTATAGGTAATCGCAATTGTCTTGTGTGTTACGTACAAGTCAAGACTTTTTCAGATAGTCAACACGAGATCCGCCAGCCCCTGTGAACACGTGACACTAACTTGCAGGGTGTCCACATTCTGGAAAGTCAGGGAAAGTCAGGGAAAAGTCAGGGAAGCTCATAGCAGTCAGGGAAAGTCAGTGAAATAGAGGGGTCACCTGGAAAGTCAGGGAAACATTGAGATTTTGTCTACCAAAACACTGTTTGTCTCCCGAAATTTCCCAGTGATTGTAAAATGAGGGATTTAATTAATTTATGCTCTAGAAAGACCTTTGATCTTGACTATCGAAGCATTTTTTTTTCAGGTTTGGAGTGATCTACATTATAACTTTGTTTTTAGTCATAATTATATTACTCCTTTTTAGTTTTTTATCTAATGAAGTGGATTGATCTAAATTATGACATAATTTTGTTCATAATTAGATTACTTTCATATAGTTTTTTTTTCAGGATTAGAGTGATCTATGTTATGATTTTTTTGTCTTAACTAGATTACTCCTTTTTGTTTTAATAGTTGTACTTTTTTGTTTCAGTAAAATGATATATTTTCTATTGTCGATGTGAAAGTGCAACTTATAACTTATGTTTATTTATATTTATTTTATAATTATTTATTGATTTGATTATTGAGTGCAGACTAGTGAGCAGTTCACTGTGAGTGCTATTAATACAGGGTGGAAACGATAAGTGATCTCATTCGACTATTTCTAAACTACACAAGATATCGAAAAACTGCTTACTGATCTTGAAAGTGCTTCACGAGCTCTTTCAAACGATATCAGTAATAGGTTACAGAATTAACTGGATCTATCCGAAAAGTCAACGTGTCCCAAAATTCAAGGATAAGCCGNAATTTTCAAACGAAGTCAAGCTTGTTTTTAAAAAAGTTTTTTTTATTACAACTTTATTTTAAACTTTTTAGTTGTTTCTCAATCTCATGGCCTAAGTGCTCGGGAAGACAAATCCAACGAACCCAAACTCGATAAGCTTCCGCCGTTTCGTTTAGGACTTCCTATGGCCAGCTCCTGCCACCTCTTGACTTCATCATCAGGACCCTGGACATCATCTAGCACTAAAGTGCTCGAAAAGACAAGTCCAACGAACCCAAACTAGATGCAATTCCGCCGTTTCGTTAAGATTTCCTATCTCAATGTCTCTCTGACTCTGACTCCATCCAGCTCAATGGTACCATAATATTGCATTGTCATCGTACTTACACAAGTATACCAAATTTCAGCTCAATTGATTAAGGAGAACTGGTTTTAAATTCAGTTGTAAGATTTATCCCATACTAATTTACAAGCGAAGTGCTTGTAAAAATGGTACGCATATCTTTTTTGCGACTAGGTTTCTTAGAGTACCATTTTGGAATCTTGGATAGTTGCGTCAACTTTAAAAAAACTTGCCGCAGTAGTGCTCATACTTTTTTTTTACAAAACGATGAGTCAAAGTGGAGTGAAAGTAAAAATCGTTCAAAATTTTAAGGAAATAAAATATTTTGATTAACTTTTGTGTAAAAACTGCAAGGATTCTGGGGGTTTTAAGAGTTGGGGTGAACAGCAGCACTACTTAAGTTGCCGATATAAACAGAAAACCAGGAATAATTGAAAAATTGTGGTCGTGGTAATGTAAAATAAATGTAAAATATCATAAGGGGTGTCAATTTTCGTTGAATTTCATAATTTATTGTGTAAGTAAAAAAATAATTGAGATAGATTTTTTTCCTTATTTTTCCTAAAGTAGTCATGATTATGTCCATCCTGTGGCGTCGGCTTATCCTTGAATTTTGGGACACGTTGTATACATAGTTGGTCAGGGAATTTTGAAAAAATTGTCAGGGAAAGTCAGGGAAAAGTCAGGGAATTTTTTCGAACATTTGCAGTGGACACCCTGACTTGTGTCCAGCTTCTTCCACTTGACCCCATACAAATTACGCTAATACGTTTACGTAACACCTTAGGATGACTTGAAAACAAATAGAGTCAAAGGAGACGTCAGTAGCGGCGTAGGCGGGTTCGGTCCGCCCCGGGTGCCAAGCATTAGGGGGTGACACAAGTCAGTCACGCAGATTAGTACTCACTGGCGCATCTGCATGGCACATCGCGCGATTGTCTTTCAATCTTCAAATCGGTAGGTAACCCCCCAAAAATCCTGGGGGGTACCAGGGGGTGCCTTAGGTCTTATGACGTGATCGCCCCGGGTGCCAACCCATGCTACGCCACCACGTGGAGACGTGTTGAAGCGACCTGCGTGTTGCAGGTTCCCGACGCGCGCCACGCTGCGCACGCCGGGCCCGGGCTCGCACGCGCCTGAGCGCTGCCCGGCCATGCGAGAGCCGCGCGCGCCCATATATTCGATGGGCGCGCGGCTCGGCTTCGCGCTCAAGCGGCCGGGGCCCGCGCCCAACGCCTACGCGCTGCGGCTGGGGCCCGGCACGCCCGCCTACACCATGGGCGCGCGAGTCGGCTTCAACCTCAAGCCGCGCTCGCCGGGGCCCGCCGTCTACTTCCAGCGGGACGCCAACGTCTACATGACGAGGTGAGCTCCTTGTGGACCATCTTTGGATTGAAAGCCGCCTACGCTCACCTATTGTAAGGTGAAGTTCGAAAAGCCATTCATGGCCACCAGCACTTTCCGTGCAAAAAAGTCCTTATATGGAAATTAACTGTCACGATATTGTGGGTCTTCATTTGTCTAAGGAAACTTATGCCCGTTTTCACCATCAATCCCTAATTTTTAAGTGACCCCTATGGTAACACATTACAGAAATTTTGTTTTCAAAGGGGTTACTTAAAAATTAGGGATTGATGGTGAAAACGGGCATTAGACTCTAACATGTTCATTAAAATATTTCGCGATTCTGCAAGCGTTCTCTGATAGTCGTTTCTCCATTAGACTGATTTGACATTTCTTTTTTGAGAGATTCATCCACAGAATGTTTTTCACACATCTCTCTCACCCACATTTTTATAATATTTGTCTTTTTAATCATTTATTTTCACGTTGCTAGGAGCCCGAACTACTCGCTGGGCGCAAAACTGGACGGCGCGGGCAAGGCCACGAAGACGCCCGGACCCGCTGCCTACCCGCCCAACCTCTATAACGTCAAGAAGGTATGTTTAACCCCCTTGGGTCAAAGTCGAATCGAGGGTGTACTAGCTTAGAAATAAAAGCCAAACTCAGTACACGACGGGTTTATTACGTCACCACAATCGGTTAGTAACAAGTAGGATGGTTAATGTGAACGGTGGTTCAAAACCTTTATATATGGGTCGCCTAAAACTTCGACACCGCGATGTAAGTCAGCACAACGCCATCTATTGACAGTCTTGCGAACTAAAATGTCTTAGAATCTACGGAATGTAACTAATTGACTGGACATTGCCTTATAGACTATTCTTACATTTACCGCCCACTAAGGACAAATTGACATTTTGTCCTTCTAAATACGGAACCGCCCACTATGACCACAATGGTAAAAGTAGGACACATTATACATATTATCGCAAAACCAGTCAAATAACATTTGAAAATACCCTATTAACACATATTACAATTAACAACTTATCGCCGTATCCACCATGACTGTTCACATTAACTCTTCGAAATTAAGATTTAAAAATATAATACAATTTAAAATTGTGTTAACAAAAACATCATAAAACCACATAAACCCAAACTCTTCTTAAAACAGTAAAATACAGGTAAAAGTAAATAATAATTACTTTGTATAATTTGATAAAAATGTAAAATAAAATTAAAGTAACAAGTTCATTCATGCATGATTTTTACTAGTATGTACCTACAAAAATTTAAGATAAACGATTTCACTCAGTTACCGGCAAAATACACAATTTGTTAACAGATCGTTTGATTATAGAATTTTTGCATTTTAATGTAACCACTCTCGTAATTCCGTCACGACCGGGGTGCTCTTCGATAATTTTAGCATACAGCCAACGACATGGGGGAAGACCGTCCTCTTTGACCAACACAATATCTCCTATTTTTGGTTGAGGCGCTTGAGTTGACCATCTGTACCTGTGAAAGTATTGGTTTATGTAATCTTGAGACCACTTTCGCCAAAATTCCTGACTCATTCTTTGTGTGTATTGCCACCTTCTGAGTGAGGTTACATTTGAGGTCTCATAATTATAGTCAGGTGCCGTGACTAAAGCCTCTCCAACTAGAAAATGACCCGGAGTTAAGACGTCTAAATTTTCTGCATCCTCATTCAGTCTTGACAGAGGCCTAGAGTTTAAACATGCCTCTACTTGTGCCAGTACCGTCGCCATCTCTTCGAAGGTTAAAGTGGACGTTCCAATCACACGTTTTAAGTGGTGTTTGACGGACTTAACTCCCGCCTCCCACAATCCCCCGAAATTAGGTGCATGTGGCGGAATGAAGTGCCAGGTCGTACAATTATTGGCTAAANCTCATTCTTTGTGTGTATTGCCACCTTCTGAGTGAGGTTACATTTGAGGTCTCATAATTATAGTCAGGTGCCGTGACTAAAGCCTCTCCAACTAGAAAATGACCCGGAGTTAAGACGTCTAAATTTTCTGCATCCTCATTCAGTCTTGACAGAGGCCTAGAGTTTAAACATGCCTCTACTTGTGCCAGTACCGTCGCCATCTCTTCGAAGGTTAAAGTGGACGTTCCAATCACACGTTTTAAGTGGTGTTTGACGGACTTAACTCCCGCCTCCCACAATCCCCCGAAATTAGGTGCATGTGGCGGAATGAAGTGCCAGGTCGTACAATTATTGGCTAAATTTTCGGCTATTTCTGCCAAGATGCCATCCTTTTCATCCGCAAAGAGTTTTCTTATTTCTGTGGCGGCCCCTACAAAGTTGGTACCGTTGTCGCTCCAGATATGCTCACAACGACCTCTTCTTGCCACAAACCTTTTAAATGCTTGGAGAAAGCCCTGAGCTGTGAGATCACTAACAGCTTCTACGTGAACGGCTTTC